GTACATTGTTATTAACTTAATTAGGGTACTCCTAAGGCTTAGGAAGAGCCACACTCAAGGGGTCAAAGAGCCGCATGTGGCTCGCAAGCCGCAGTTTGCCGACCACAGGGTTAAAGGAATTCCCTTTTTTCAGTAGTCTCAGAGATAGTGGTCAGGAAAGTTAACACAGCAACCAGTTGGCAGATGGCTAAAAAGCAAAATATTTGTGCATCTAATTATTTATTATTTGGTAACCTCCAGCTCAGTGGTTCTCAACCTTCTGACCCTTTAAATACAGTTCCTCATGTTGTGACACAACCATGAAATTATTTTCATTGCTACTTCATAACTGTAATGTTGCTACTGTTATGAATCAATGTGAATATCTGATATGCAGGATGGTCTTAGGCGACCCATGTGAAAGGGTCGTTCGACCGCCAAAGGGGTTGCGACCCACAGGTTGAGAACCGCTGCAGCTGAATCTAAATTTATCCTGAGATTTGGGAAGGCTTCAGAATACCAGTTCACTTTGTCCAATATATAAATAATTTGTTGTGCAATATTAAAATAATCTTCTAGCCCTAGCCGGTTTAGCTCAGTAGACAACCAATCAATGTGTCTCTCTCACATCAATGTTTCTGTCTGTGTGTCTCTCACCCTCCCTTCTACTCTCTCTAAAAATCAATGGAAAAACATCCTTGGGTTAGGATTAACAACAACAAAATAATACTCAATTACTCATTTGAAAGTTAAATGAAAAGGCACTCCTTTATTTCAAAAACATTTAAGTCATCTCATGTCCAGAGAAATCTTATGAAGGTTGTAACTCAACTTACCTGTTCCCATTATGTCCTGGGAAAGAAATTACCCAGCATGACTCTTCTCATCATGCCAGATTCCAGGCCCTACAGATCAAGCTGCCCCACAATCTTCATGGTACAAACTGTTTTAATCAGCCGTTAGCTAATTCCCTGAATCTCTTGTTTTAATTTAGGATTCTGACTCTTTTTAGGAAAACCCCCAATAAAAACAAAACCCATATCAGCACAAACAACGTTGATACACTTGGTTAAGCTGTTCCAAGTCATGTTCTGATAAGTCCTTTTAACAGAGCAATAAGCCCAGTAAGGTCAGATGAGCTCGCCAGTTACTTGTCAAATTTGAGGATTTTTGCCTTGGGGGCGGGTCTCTGAAAACGCAGACTGCCTTTTCCCTTTGGAAAAGACTGGTCAGCATTTTTGCTTGCTGGGAAAAGGCAGTGACAAAATTCACAGAACTGAAAAACGGGAGAATGAGAAATTATAATGTAATAACCAAAGGAAAAGAATTATTATCATTTTTTTTAAATTACCAATGCAGTGCAGAGTTTATTGTATAAAAAGTACAAAATTAAGACAACCATAGTTCCACCCTGGGAGAAATTCCCTACTAATCCGGTTTTTCTATGTGTATATGATATTGCTATTTTTGTTTCTTACAAAAATGGAATTTTGCCTTGCACACTGGTTTTAACCTGGTTTTTAATAATCTTTCATGACCACAATTTAAGCTGTATAGTTGTTTTTTAATTGATTTCAGATAAGAAGGGAAAGGGAGAGAGAGAGAGAAACATCAACGATGAGAGAGAATCATTGATCACCTGCCTCCTGCACACCTCCCACTGGGGATTGAGCCCACAACCCATGACCAGAATCAAACCTGGGACCCTTTGGTCCGCAGGCCAACGCTTTATTCACTGAACCAAACCGGCTAGGGCAAGCTGTATAGTTCTTATGGTTATTCCATAAATGTAGTGGTTTATGGTTATACAATAATTGATTTAATCATCTATTATTGTGCAATTAGGGTGTTTCCAGTGTTTCTGTTATAACCTAATGCTTTAATGTATAGACTCAAAGTGTGTATCTGCTGATTTCCTTGGGGTAAATTAGTACAAGTAGAATTTCTAGGTCATTGGCTTTGTACAATTTTGAGGCTTTTGATACAGAATTATCAAAATGCCCTCTAGAAAAGGGATATAAATTTAAGCTCTGTTAATCTGTAAAGGCTAATCTTATTGGAAACTGTCTATTAGGGATTTCTCCCTTGTGATAATAAGGTAATGAGTCAAAAGACAACTTCTATCTGGAATTCTGCCTATATTTAATTTGGTTGTTCATAATGGGTCCCATGCTTGGTACCATCTTGAGCTCCCAGCACCTGGGGCCCTGGTGGACCTATAAGAGCCGGCCCATCCTTTGGCCTCTGCTCTAATGTAGAACTCCCAAACAGAACCCAGTTGATAATTTTAAGAAGCAATGGCCTTCTTAAAGAAGTGGCTTCTGCCTGTCGCTACCAGGATGAGCTTATTGATTATTATTTGGGGAAGAGAACTTTTTCTCTTTCTAGGAAGTAGGTGGCAGTCTCAGCCTCAGGTTTAATGAGCAGGTTCTGGTCCACCTATGCAAATGGCCAGTGGCTGCTATATTGACACAGCATCACCCTGGCAACATAACCACTGGATGCGCCATAGAAATGCCCCCTTTTTGGGGATTTCCAGTTCAGCAATGACAATTTTTTTGCAGAGGACAAAGAGTACATAAAATGAACATGTAGTGTGGTATACAGTAATAAAGCTGATTTTCATGGAAGAAGCTGTTTCATTGCTCATAGCTAGAATTTATGCACAATTTTGGCCTTCATCATATTTTACATTTCCATTTTGTAGCTTTCAAAGAGATGGGAGTCTAAGTGAGACTGCCAGGGTCTGAATCCTAGCTAGGCACTTGCTGGCTTTGTGACTTTGGGAAAGAATTTTTAATTCAGTGTCTCTCTTTTCTCATTTGGAAAAATGAAGATAATAATGCCATGAGGATAACATGAATGACTATGAAGCACATAGAATAATACCTGGCACATATGAAGTGGGATATGTGCTTAGCTATTGTTTGTATTAGCATTAACTTATAATGACTTTTGCACATAGTGCTGTAACATCACTTGCAATCTTAGTACTTGTTCTTGTAATGTTCTTTCAGAAATTCCCATTTCTTTACACCAAAAGGACCACTCTTTCCTTTAAGTCTCAGCTTAAGACCCAACCACTCCATGGAACCTCTCCTGATTACCCTAGTAAAAGGGTTGGCAAATTGTTTCTATAAAGAGCCAGATAGTAAACAGTTTAGGCTCTGAAGGCCATGAGGTTTCTGTTGCAACTACTCTACTCTGCAGCGTGAAAGCAGCCATAGACAATATGTTAAGGAATGGGCATGGCTATGTTCCAATAAAACTTTATTTACAAAAACAAGCAGTGGGTCACTTTTGGCTCTTGGGCCTTGTTTCCTGGCATCTGCTAAAGTATATGATGGTGTGTCATTTCTTATAGTTTCTAAAACTCAGAACTGATAGTGCAAAGCACCCATGCTAAAGGTGGCAGGCCAACTGGTTCCGGTGGACTGCAGGCTTGGGGCTGCTGCCCTTCCCACCCCCCACTTGCTTAAGAAGAGTTGCCAAATAAGAGTTGTCCATTTGCCCAGGG